CAGTAAAATCTTTCTTCTGTATGATGCATTGGCCGTGGTGTTTCTTCATAACAATAGAAAAGTAACAAAGTCAACCATGTTTATAGCAGTTGGCATTAAATATACACAATACTGTGTGTTATACAGAAAAACACCACACTAAAAAAATCAAATAAGTCATGGCTCAGCCCCAAAAAAGAATACTGTGTGAGATAAAACAATTGCAAGAAATAAACCTAGTGCTTTTTACTCAAGTGCCATGTCTAGAAAGGTATCATAAGAGACAAAGAAAAGTGATGTCTTCCAGGGCTATGTGAAAGAAAGATGTGTTCCTTGATGAATACACATTTTCACATTTGGAAAATAAAAACTCTTTATGGGTTTGTTTCACAAACATATGCATGAACATAAAATAACCATACTAAGAAACACATTTTAAGATCATTAAGATGACAAATTTTAAGGTTTTTACTGTTGTAAAGTGAATTTTGAAATGTGACGTGGAAACTTTCAGTTCTTCAAGATTGAAGATGTTTCTTCAGCTACTTACCCATTTCATCATCACAATGAAAGTTTTCAGCACCAAAGTTCCACATATGCCTCAGATTATACACCACATACTGATCTGCTGAATTTGTTAAGATCATTTATAAACCTAGCAATTGACTCTCTGACTCTCTCTCTCTCTCCCTCCCTCCTTCTCTCCCTCCTTTCCTCCCTTCCTCCTTTCTCCTTCTTCTTCATGACTTTGACTGAAAACAAATGGTTGAATTTATGGTTTGCCTGCCCAGTGTAACTGCTTTAGACTTTTGTCTGTCCTTTAGTGTATGTCAATTAATTAACATATACTATTTCTAAATAGTATTTTTTTGATCTTTCAACTTTTTGTGCATGTACACTGCATATCTGATTGTATCCTGCCCCCAGGCCCCTTCAGCATGCCTCTCCTAATTTTATATCCTTTTTTAAATTTTAAGTAACCAATTAGTCCAAATAGTTCCACCTCTATGTACATGGGTATGAGGCCATCCAACTGGCTGTGGACAGTCTGCTAGTGGCAGAGCCCCCAAAGAAACTGCTAGTCTCAGCTAGTATAAGACTTTGCTAGACTATCTCCTATCCAGGAAGGAATTTAAATGATTGATATTGTACAGGTCTTAAGTAGGTAGCAACAGCTGCTTTAAGTCTGTGAGTACAATAGCCATGCCATGCATTCCAAAGCACCCCCCACCCACTGGGGTTTTTTTGTTGTTGTTGTTGTTGTTGTTTGTTTGTTTTGTTTTTCAAGACAGTGTTTCTCTGTATTGTTTTGGAGGCTGTCCTGGAACTTGCTCCGTAGACCAGGCTGGCCTGGAACTCACAGAGATCTGCCTGCCTTGGGGATTAAAGGTGTGCGCCACCAATGCCCAGCTCACCCACTGGTTTTTATATTCTTTCTGTTACCCTTCTCTACTTTGTTCCATAAGTCTTTCAACCCACTATCTTCAATAAATTTCTCTTTTGTGTTGTCTAGGAAGCTGATAAATACATCAGATGAACTCCTAAAGAGTGAACTAGTATTTGTTCAGTTCTAAAATTTTATTGTGTGTTTGCATTCAGATTATATATTTTCCATTTCACATATTTTATTCATCGTTCCTAAATTTATTTCATAATTATAGCTTCTAAAATAATGCTTTCATAGCTAAAAATATTAATCATGTGTAATTTTGATTGCATACTTTTTCATTTTGAGTAATATGATTCTGGATCATGTTGTGTCTAATAACCTTTAATCTCTGTTAGATGTCTATGAAAGACTGTGTAAATGTTCACTCACATTAAAGAAAAAACAAAAGCAAAAAGAGCCCTCAACACACAAAAACTAGATGCATTATCATGTCCAATAGAATGTAAGCTATGATTTTGTCATACATTGAAATGCTAGGGAGAAGTGATAACTAAGCATTTTTACATCTTACCACAAAGAAAAATCTCACAAAACATGGACAAAATTCCTATGAATAAAAGATCACTTACTGCATAATGCCATACAAGTAATGGTATAAATACGAGCCATTGAGTTGTGTGCAATCTTTTATTCTTTTGCAATATCATATGTACCAGCAATTGATTATATTCACCTGTGCACACTCTTAACTCCTTGCCACTCCTATTGAAACCCCTTATTCCCCGCAAATCTCTCCTATGCCCATGCTGTGTATGTGTATGTGTGTGTGTGTGTGTGTGTGTGTGCTGATGCATGTGCATGTGTGTTCAACTGAATTTAATTAGGACTGCCTGAATGTTCCTTCTTTCATTTATTTGTGCAAGCACAACACACAAGGTACAACACTGAGGAACATGACTGCACATTGACTAGCAGCAATTACCTATTTATAGCTCCACAGAGAGAGGTGGGATCTCATGAGCCACTCCTCATTTATGATGAAATAATGATGCACTTAGTCTCATGCAGATACCATTCAGGTAACCATAGCTTCTGTAAGTTCATCAGTACAACAACCATGCCATCTCCAGAATACAGTATGTTATAGTACTTTTCCCCCTTCCTTCCCTTCTTACAGTATTTTCAATCTTTCCATAATGTTCCCTAAGCATTGTCACTGTGAGATGATTTCACATAAATGCCTACTTATGAAAAAATCTTATGGCTTGTGAATTTATCTTCAAGTCCAATAAGCCTTTTGAGGAAAAACCCATAAAAATTAGTTTGATTACATAGCAATATTTTCATGCTAAACTGACTAAAACCCAAATACCACAGCTAGTAGTGAGCTATAGAAGATAAGGAATTTTCATACGAAACATTAACTGAGCAAGGGAAAATGTGACATGGTCTAGCACATTCACGTGAATCACAATTTAATTGAGTGATTCCACTTCTGGGCATGTATCCCAAAGGCAAATTGGCAAATGTATAAAGTAACACAATCAAAAGTTTCTTCTGTGAAGCACTACACACAAGACCAAAAGACGGCAAACGAGCTAAATATTCACCAACGGGGAATAGATGAATAAATCATAAATCCACACAGTTTAAGAACTGTAGAGGCAAAGTGAAGACCACCATAGACTGAGCTAGTTATTCAAGATACGGTCTTTACACAAGTAAAAGGGCAGAGCAATTAACAGTGTTACACTCCATGTGTTTCACAAAGAAAGAAATGCTCATTCCCATTCCTAAACACACAATTGAAGAATTATCTAATGAAAGGAGCTTCCCACATAAAAAGGCATGGAAGTTAAGTGTGTGTGTGGGGGGGGGGAATCAGTTGAAGCAAGACTTTTCCCAATATGCTTTTCCTAGGTTTATACCCTAATCACAAAAAATAGTTCATCCACACTACTGCAATATTAAACTAAATCAAAATGAAAGAAACATTTTGTCTGTTAGAAATAGACACAAAATCATTGATGACTGAAACAACATCATGCTATGAAATTGCTTTTAAACAGTCCAGTGGGGTTTGGGAGCAATAAGTAAAGAAAATACCAAGGTTGAACACTGTTGAAGTTGAATAATAAAGCTTATGAGCATTCATGGTGTCCTTACTTTAGTGTTAGTGTGTGTTTGGTATTTTCCATAACTAAAACAAGGGAGAAGCCATAAGACACACACACACACACACACACACACACACACACACACACACACGCTGTGCCCGTTGCGTCACCTGTATCCAAGAATGTGAGGAGGGTGTCGGGATTGATGACACAAAGACCAGTGAGTGGTGCAAACAAAACTTTAAGCAGGCCCCAAGAAGGCTCAAGAAAACTTCCCAAGAAAGGCTTCCCTCAGGTAAAGCTTTAGCTCCTTTTTCCCCCCTGGCTGGTTATATGCCCCTGACACCAGAGTCAGCAGTGGGGGAGGGAGGATCAGGAAGAGGTGGCTAGCCATTGGAAAGTTCAAAGTTAGGGTGCTCCAGTGAGCTAGCCCTTATCAGGAACTAATTGCGCTGGTAAACATTTCTTAGGGCACCGAATTGTTTTCAGTAAACATGCTTTTAGTAAACATGTTTTTAGTAAACATTGTCTTACAGCTGCCTGCTCCCAGGCTGATGGGGAAGTGGGCCTCTGGCCAAGGGCCAAGGTCTTTTGTACACACACACACACACACACACACACACACACACACACACACACACACACACACGACTAACAAGGAATACCTGAGGCTGGCGTTAATTTTTTGTTCTGAAATATTTTTACTTAAAAATCACAGTTATTTTATAAACAGAAAAAAATAAGAGTGATAAAACCAATATTAAAGTAGAAATCAAGCTTTACTTTCGCCCACTATAACTGAGTTCTCTGAATTAGGCTATGACTTCCCACTGATAGATGATTAGAGAAGGCTGTCTCATTTATGAGAAAGAAATGTGCGCAATGTGTTATTTTCCTATTTAACTTTGCAAATTCCTTGCTGGTTTTTGTTGTGTTTTGTCTTATTCCAGATTCATATCCCTGTTTGCACATTCAAATACTAGATCTATTTAAACTACATGTTGCAGAAAACATTTCGTTACACATTATTTTAAATGGCTCAATAAACATAAATATATTATTTTAAGGACACAAATTGCCATTAAGAAAATGCATTTGTGCCGTATAATTGGTGTTCACTTTCATTGAAAATTCTAATGAAATTTAATGACATTTCTACCCAAGAAACCAAAGGAGGAAAATGGCATCAATAGGAAAGACAACTAACAAAAAGAGAAAACGTGGAAACAACCATTGCTTTTCATGGGTATATGAGGGCAAGTTGTGAATTACAAATGCATCTCATTAAAACCATTTGACATCTGTGTGAAGGTTTCTACTTCTGCCGCTGTAATTATGCTGTGTTTAATTGAAATTGTTTAAGTAAAATATCAGAGGGAAATTTTTTGCTAGACATCTGTTGAAGAATAACTAGATAATAATTTCCCCATTGTTGTTTAATTTTCTTTCAAATATGGAATTTATGGCAGTTGTTAATTTGTTTATAGACACAAAGCAAGTATTCACACTGGATATGACCTAATAATTCTTCTGTATTTTATAGAAGTTTTGTATTATACTGTTTAGCTAAATTTTAGACATATTTTCTTAACTGGCTAATTTTTATTTGTTCCTGGGCTTTTGTGGGAACTTTCATTGGTGGCATTTTGGACATCCTAGGTGGAAAGGGTCTGGTGCAATTCAACAGCATAGTCTAAGTGCAGTCTGTTAGATATCCAGATGACCCAGCTGAGACACCATCTGAGGGAGCAAGCCTGGGAAAAAAGAGAGCAGGTGACAGCAATAAAGCAACCATGGTGCCCATAATTTCTTCTAGAAGTCTTTAGATGGTCTTTGAGCAGAATGGAAGAGATGTGCCAGTTTCAGAGAGGAAAATAGAAGATTATCATAAATTTTAGCTTTTTTTTTTACAATTTTAAGCTAAATCTAGGCACATGATAATCCTAGTACTTCAGTGGAGGCAGGGGTATCAGGAGTTCAAGACCATCTTTGACTATGGAGTGAATCTGAGGCCAACCTGGGCTATAAAATTTTATCCCCAATCAAAACAAAAACAATGACAATAAAAATGTTTCTGAACACAATTTCAATAGATGTACAAAATCCTCATCAGCTAATTCCATCTTATCTATCATTTTTTAGTCCAATTTTAAGCATAATGACATTTTCCTGTCCTTCTATTTACCCAGAGATTTTCCTTTATGGTTGGTTATTTTACCTTTTTTCTGATTTTGTTTTATTCTTTTGTAAATCAGTGTGAACATCCCAAGACCTTTAGATGTTCAACTGGTTCTGAATGACCATTAGTCTAGGTCTGAGTTAAACTTATTCCTATGGTGTGAACTTCTTGTCTCTCTTTTGAGTTAGCAACAAATATTAAGCACACTTTGCAACTGAAGATGGCCTTGAACTCCAATTCCTGTACCTCCTAAGTACTAGGATTACAAGTGCGCATCAAATGCCCAGTCTTATGTTCAAAAAATGTAAAGGAAAAATTTGAATGTATAAAAAATGTGAGAAGACCTAAATGCCAATTCTGGAAAAGATAGCCACAATTTTTGCAATAAAATTGTCACTGGTGAGTGAACCTGAGAAGAATGACGCACTCTCCAAATAGAAACATGGTGAAGCAGGAAGGAGGACAGAGCATAAGCAGAACTCCAGTGAATCTCAAGGCTGGATAAAGCTCATAAGCATAATGGGAAGAAAGAGAGAGGATGATAGGGCTGAAATTTCAGCCCAAGAAACAGTAGCAGCCAGATTTTCAAATCTGATGACCCATACAGCTTAATGGGCCCCATGTACCATAAACTGAAACTAGTGTATCACTGACAAATTCCTGAAATCTAGCAATAAAGTGAAAATTATAAAAAATTGAAAGATGCAAAATGTGTACAGCAACAATGGTGGTAGTCACCATCAGACTTCTTGTGCAAAAATAATTCAGATAGAAATACAGAAAAAAATTAATGCTAAAAATGAACCTCAAATCTGTCAACTTTAGGGTTCAATACTCATTGACAATATCCATGAAATATAATGGTGAGCCTGCTAGTTTCACCTTGGAAGTGTGTGGGCAGTTGGAAACAGAGCTGACCCATTGTGAACAGAAAAATCCTTGAGAAACATGTAAGTGATGACTTCCATGAACAGGAGAATGCAGAGAATGGAGGTTTTCAGGCAAATGACGAATCAGAAACCCAGTGAGGCTTATCATCTGAAGTCAGCAACAAAGATTGGGCATTTGACTATTTGTCTACTGGGATACAGGCTGCCAAATAGTGCATATTTGTTAAGAGAAGCTTTCCTTGAGAAGAGCCTTCTCGCCCGCCTGGTTCCAGATCCGCATCAGTCCCAAATAAACACACAAGAGGCTATATTCATTATGAAGCTGTTGGCCTTGCTTTTTTCTTACTGGCTAGCTCTGACTTAAGTATTAACCCTATAATTGTTAATCTAAGTATGTCTCTTACCGGAGAGGTTTCTGAGCTTCCTACAAATGCACAGGCAAATAACAGGACTTCCCCAACATCTCCTCTTTTCTGTTTAAACAAAAAGAAAGGTCTTAACTTTAACAGTCAAATTGTATATAACAGAAGTTATCAAATAAGAACATAGTTACAATATTTTAGCAAGATTTAAAGAAAATATCATCCATCCCATCCTTGTGAGTCCAAAGTTCTATGTAGCTTATCTTTTATCATAACTAAGGAAAACTGTAATTATAACTATCTGTCTTCAACTCCATCAAAGACCACAGAAGGATAATATATAAACACTAGGATTGACAGAGACATCTTACTGCCTGGACAGTCACCCGAAGTTCCTCTGTAACATTGGGGCATCCATCTTCAGCCGATAGGCCACAATGTGTCTGGAACACTTCTCAGCAAAGCAGGAAATTTCAAACTGTCCATCTGCGTTGGCAGTCTGTCAGTCATTTTTCTTTGTCCTGCAGAAAGTCTCGTAGACTCTTCATCAAGCAGGAACCCTGTAAGACTGAGTTCAGTAGTCACTTTCCTGTGGGTCCTGCATGTCCAGATGATACAACAACAGTCAAACAATCTAGGCAAGAGCAGTTTCTTGCCCAAATGGCTAATCTTGCCATGTTGAAAGCAAACTTTATAACGAGTTTCTTTGATGCCCATCTTCCTCTCAGACGTAATTGGTGCTGCCAGGAGCAGACATTTCTCATTGTCAAGACAAACCCTAAACCATTTTAAATGCCATGTTCTGAAGGTCTTTGAGAGGTTTGAAGACTGTCCATCTCAAATATATTTCTGTATATCTAGAAACCTAACTTATGTAACTAGAAATTCTATTATAAGTACCTATCTATAGTCTGTATTCAATTATGCATTACGTTGTAAAAGATCAGTATAAGCACAATACTTAATCAAGAGGAGAAATATAAGCCTCACAAAATTGACCTTGATTTTGTCTCAATAAATGAAAAACAATACCCATACCATAATTCCCCTTTTTACCATTAAAAAAGATTGGCTGTGATCACTAGCCAATTATAAACAATACCATTTAAATGAAAACAAAGATTTATAAACAAGATGGGAATTAGGACGTCGTTCATTCCAAACTGCTTCCTGCTGGAAGGGGGCGCTGTTCATACCATGGGGATCATGACAAAACTCAGACACCTGTATAAGTCCGTATTTTCGGGGTCTGTACAGCTGCATCATCTTAGCTGTTTCGATTGTTGGAACACCTGGTCCACTGCTTCCGGGGGTCTTGGTTCGTGAAACCACAAAAGCCTGGAAGAAATCTTCAGCTTTTCATTTTCTGTAGAAACATAAATAAAAACTCCTTTTCCGAGTAACATATCCTTATGCTTAAATTTTGAAGTCAAGGTATTTTCAAAAGATATAAGTTGTATTAATTTAGCAGCATTTATAAACATTCTATTTCTTTTACTTTTATTTATTTTTCTTTGAGACAGGGTTTCTCTTTGGAAATCCGCCTGCCTCTGCCTCTGGAGTAAATCCTACCGGTGTGCACCACCACAACGCCGGCTTTTGTATTTATTTAACACTTTGCCGTTTCATTTTCTCTCTCAATCTCACGTATATTATTAAACACACTGTAAACCTTTAGAGGTTTTGTTCATCCAAGTCTGACTTTACTGTAAATCTTTATGTTTTTCTGGCCACGTGTCTTATCTGTTTTTTTTTTTCCTTTTTTCTTTTTATGCCGAGTCAGGAAGACTCTGGTAAGTGAGCCACGTGAATCTCGGCTTGTCACTAGCAAAACAGAACACACCTGAGAAAAATGCTGCTACCAATAATCTGTGCTTCTCTCTGTTCTTCTGTTTCTAAAATTCCTTTAAAGCTTTTGTTGTTTTGCGTGGAAATTCATAATCCCACTCCTGATTACCATTCTGTTAAGAGAAGCTTTTTCCTTGCGAGGAGCCTTCTCGCCAGCCTGGTTCCAGATCCGCATCAGTCCCAAATAAACACACAAGAGGCTATATTCATTATGAAGCTGTTGGCCTTGCTTTTTTCTTACTGGCTAGCTCTGACTTAAGTATTTACCCCATAATTGTTAATCTAAGTATGTCTCTTACCGGAGAGGTTTCCGAGCTTCCTACCCCAATGGCGGTTACATCTCGACTCTCTTGTGTTTCCCCTTCCCAGAATCCTCCTCGACTCCTAGTCCCTCCTATCTAGGTTTTCTATTGGCCAGACAGTACTTTATTGACAAATGCACAGGCAAATAACAGGACTTCCCCAACATATATTAAGTAAGAATATTGAGCTACACTTTTTTTCTATGAATTGCTACTGGCTATGTGTGAGCTACCAGGAAAGCATAGCTCCTGGAGGCCTTGGACATAGGTATTTCCCACTCTGTGTGGGGTCTTCCCAACAAGGACCCTGCTTGGACCCAAAGGGAGGATATGAAGAGTTCTGAGAAACTATTGTTTGATGAAAGTCATGGAAAAGACTTAGTGCCCAGCAGCACTACATCCTAACTCCTTTCCTTCATATGTGCAACCATGGAAATTCAAATAAATGTGTCTTTGTTTCCTTTGAAGAATAAATGTGTTATTTTGAAGAAATTCATGTATCAGGAAGTTTCATGAGGTTACTATTGAAAATATATCTAATATATCAGATGCAGAGAAATGGGAAAGGGGGATAAACTCTGTTCCTGAAAGGGACAGAACTATACATCATTCCCCACATGGCATCTTTAGGGAATCAAGGACCACATACTTTCATAACACCTGGCCAAGGGAGCATGAGAGAGAGCCCCACAGTCTTCCTGCACCACTGGTACTAAACACAGACCACAGTTCATTTAGCAGGGTAGTTCTGCAGGAGTCAAGCTTCTTTAAGGCACAGAATTGTAACATGAGTTTTCTTGGCCCAGTTAGGACGTGTCACCCTTCTCTGTCCCAGAGAAGCACACAGATGCTATATTAATTATTAAACTGTTGGCCACTGGCTAGGGTTTCTTATTCTTAATCATTAACCCATTTCTATAAATCTAAGTATCTCCACATGGTTGTATCTTACCAGAGAAAGTGTCCGGGGACCTCTTACATCTCTGGCATCCTATATCTCAACTGTTCAGCATCTCTACAGAGAAGAGAAAAGAAGAGAAGAGAAGAGCACAATTTCCTGTTCGTCCCTGCTTATATACTGTTACTGCCCAGCTACGTCACTTCCTGCATATCTGTACAGAGCTCCAGACTTCTATGATTAGCTAGTGGCAGTTTCTGCCCAGCTATGTCACTTCCTGGGATCACAGGACGATTCCTCTCTGCCTACACTTCCCAGAATCCTCCTCATATCCTAGTCCCACCTATCTTGCTGCCCTATTAACCAACAGTGTTTTATTAATCAACTAAGAAGTATATACACAGAAGAACATTTCCCACCAGAGAAGGAAAGGAAGATGTAAAATAATATGAGCAAATATTCACTCATAGAGTTTGTCTTCAGAGCAACAATGAACAAGTCAACTACTGAAAAATTTAGTAAGGCCTACGAGAAAAAAAGATAGCCTCACCTTCAAGCATGGAAACCTAAACCTCCTCATTTCCTCTGGCTTATAAAATACTTCTGGTTTGCCAAAAACTTATTCTGTACACAGAAGGACAAGAAACACAGCCTAAAGAGATACAAAAGTGATCAGCACCATATTTAGATATGACATGGGAGGTACAACAGTAAGACAGAGAACATAAATGAAAGATATTGATGGTTAAAATGTTGTAGTCTCTAACGCAATGGGTCTCTTCTGGGATGGAGGGTACCCCTAAGTGGATGTTCTGACTTCTTTGACATGTCAGTTCCTGGCATCTAGGATAGAGTTCAGAGATGTTGCTAAATAGTCTACAATGCACAGAACCAACCTAGAAACCACAAAAAAAAATCAAAATGGTCAATAATGCCAAAGCTGCTAAACTCTGCTTTAATGTGGAAAGTAAGCAAAGTATAAAAATATCATCTAGGATAGAATTAAAAAGAGAGTCATGGGAAATAATGTGTCTGCCATGATCAGTAGACCCAGGAAAGAATCAGACAGGGAGGAGAAAGCAAAGCAAAAGAACTCAAACTTACAAGAGGTAAGAGCTAAAACCTCAACAGGATTTTTATGGGAGCAGATCTGTGACAGCACCAAATGTACCTAGAGACAATAGGTGAAGAGAAAGAGTACAGGCAATGGCCAAGAACATTCCTAAATTGCTGACAGATAGTAATCTACACTTTAACAATCTCTTGAACTGTGAAGTAGAGTAAAAAATAATCACATTCAGACATTGCCCCCCATAAGCTTCCAAACATCAGAGGTATGAGCTCACTTTCATAGCTGGTACATGAAAATAGGGATATAGATTTGTTAGTCCCCTGTGCCCAGGTGTCAAGAAAATCCGTTCATGAAACTGAACAATTTATAGTTTAAATGCAATTGTTATGTTAAGTGTTCTTTTATTACCACTGCAATTTTGGGGAAAATCAAAGGAATATTTTGAAAATTGAAAGAATAAAGGTTGACTGAAACCATTTACCTCCTGTAGAATAAGGATAAGAACTGTGAACAACTTTTTATCAGAAACCATATAAGAAATGGTCTTAGTTACTTTTCTATTGCTGTGAAGAGACAATTTATAAAACAAAGAGTTAAGTAAAGACTTGCTCATAGTTTGAGAGGATGAGCCCATGCCCATCACAGTGGGGAGCACGGCATTGGGGGAAGGCATAGTGCTCGAGCAATAGATGAGAGCTTACACGTTGAGACAACATGATAGGCAGAGTAAACCACCTGGGAATAGGTGTCATGAGCTTTTGAAACCTCAAAGTTCATCCCCTATATCATAGCTCCTCCAACAGGGTCTCAGTTTCTAATCTTTCCCAGAGCTCGGTCAACTGTCAACTAAGGAACAAGTTTATACAAGTTTATGATGAGGTTAAGAGGTGCATTCTCATTCAAACCACTACAGAACAGGAACCATACTCACAATGCTAAAACAAAAGAAATATCATGTCAAGAAAGCA